TAAAGTTATTTCATTTGATACTTAACAAAAGTGAATTTTGTGGTTATCTATGAGTTGCATATTTTGGTAGTTGAAGTACTGTATGTATGTCATTCCTCTACTTGGTTAGTGGAATAACGTTTTTAAAACTTATTTCAACTATCAAAAAAATGTTCAATGGCCGTTGTTTTCTAATAATCTCTCAGTACATTATTTGCATCTGTTGTGTAACTGTATTTGTTATTGATTAAATTCTTGCTTATTACAGTATTTAAATATTTGAAGATTAAAAAAATTTCTATTACTGAATTTTTCCATTGGAGCCATTTTTACCTACTTGTCATTTGGGGCCATTTTTACTGGGGTCATTTTTACCGGGCCATTTTTTCCTGGGCCATTTTTACCGGGGGAATTTTTACCTACATTCCGCCAGCATACCCAAATCGCTCAGCCTTGTAAGCTTCTCTTTCAACGTTTAACTTAACATGGTTGAGATAGAGGATGAATAAGAGAGGTGATAAAACACTTCCTTGTTGTACTCCTGTGTTGACGGCAAACTACTCTGTGCCTCCTAAGACAGTATTGCTTTGATTTCTGTATGTGATTTTGATTGTATTGAGTAGAGGAGTGCTAATGCCTGCTTCCTCACTTTCCACATTTTATCCCTTGGTACCCTGTCGAATGCCTTTTCCAGATCTATGAAACAGATGTGTTGGATTAGTACCAGGGAGTTTTTATTAGAAACTTTTGAACTTTTGAACGTTTAACAACCAGGAAATTGTTAATCTCCCTGTTAGTACTATATTCCCAGCTTTTTGCTGCGAAGCAGCCAATTCATATTCTTGACAGCAATTTGACCTCTGAAAGGTCATTGTTTGTCAAAAAACAAGGGCCTAAGACGAATACAGATCATTTCGGTCGCGCCTCGTTTCGGTCGCGCCTTGTTTCGGTCGCGCTTCATTTCGGTCGCGGTTTGTTTTCAACAAATATATGGAGCGCCAATAGAGTTGCGAAAACGCCAAATTTAATATAACTAGGCCTAATTATCATTGAGTTCGTTCGTCAATCGGTTTATCATACTTTTTTTATTTATGTTTTGTTGTCTTTCTACTAAGTAACAACATAGGTTACTTAAAAGCAAATAAATTGAATACTATTATTACTAAACTAAATTTCAATTAATATTATGGTATTTATAGGTTATTTTCTAGTTTGTTGCATTCCTAGTACTATTTCACTCTTTTATCGGATGGGGTTTTTTTCGTTTTGTTGTCGATTCTACGCTTCCTACTACTACATAACAAATATTTATAAAAATCAAACTTTTTATCAGGAAAAACCAGCCAACTCGTTATTTAAATTACTGTAACATTAGTTTATTAACAATTATTTTTAT